TTAATGGTCAAAAGGAATCATAGCTTAATCAAAAGAATCAAATTGTGGTAACCTTTTTGAGATAGAGAAAGTATTAAGCGGCAACAACTTTAACAAATTACCGAGTATTAAAATTTTATGGAGAGATAATAAATATAATAACAAATTAAATACTCCCTCTATCCTACAAAATTTTTACATTTTTTACTTTTAGAGAATTTAAGGTGAGTGAGGAACATATTTTGGTGTTGACTTTCTAAAAATATCTTTAAATGTGATAGGTAAATTAATACTTCGTAATAAAAAAGTTTGATGTGATAAGTAGGTTAAAAATAATAGCGATAAAACACACTTTTTAAATATAAATGAGATTTTTTTGGATAGATGAAAAAATAGAAAGATTCTATTGGACGGAAGGTTATAATGCAACATCAGAGAAACTCTTAGGGGCTGTTTGTTTTAGCCTCTTAATGGTTCAGATGTCTGAATGATTCAGCACTTAATGGTTCAGACTGTTTGTTTCAGCTTCTTAATGGTTCAGATGTCTGAATGGTTAAGTGATTTGCCTATGAATGGTTAAGTATTATACAGAGTCTGAATGATTAAGAGCTCTTATCTGAATTGATCAGACATTTGCCTCTGAATAGTTAAGCAATATACTAGCTCTTAATGGTTCAGACCACTTACTGGTTCAGCACTTAATGATTCAAACCTCTTACTGTTCAGCACTTACCCATTCAGAAGTTGTCAAACAGCCCCTTAGCATTCCTAATCAAATGGGACACTTTTTTAAAAGTGTTGTCTAAGTAGAGTATTTTTTTTTAGAACATTAGAAAAAGTGTTAGCATTTCTAAATAAATGTAACGCTTTTTGGAAAGTTTGGTCTAAATACTTCCTCTCTTTCAAAAAGTTTTACACATTTTGACTAAAGTAGAAATCAAGGAAGCGATAATTTTGTGTTTACTTTCCAAAAATAACCTTGATTTGATGTGTGAAAATAAGATGTGATGTGTAGATTATAAGGAAAAGGTATGAAGTGTTAGGTAGGGTTTGAAAAATTAAGGGGTAAAAGCAGTTTTTTAATAGAAATGGATAGGAGATTGTGTGACACATTTTTTTGAAAGGTGTAAATTTTTTTGGGACGGAGGGAGTATATAGTACTTCGTTTCAAAGTATTTATCCAGTTTTGATTTTTTTCAGTCAATTCAATCATTTTTAACCATTGAACTACAATTAAATAAAAAAATATTTTGAAAATATTTTATATAATAAATTTAATAAAATATTTTTGTATTGATATACTAATTTTGAGCAAAAAAGTTAAAAGTAGACAACTGAAGGAGAGAGTACTTTTTAGCAACACATATACAAAAGTTTTAAATAAGCTAAGAATGTGTAACACTAAAAGATACTCCAGTGTTAATTACCTTATACTCCGTCCGTCCCAAAAAAGTCATTCACGTAAAAGAAAAATGGTGTATTATAATCTTTTTTCATATATTTTTCTAATAATCTAAACGTCACATTCTACTTTTACTCACTAAATCAAAATATTTTTGTAAAGTTAACACAAAATTATTTCTTCTTAATTTTGCCGCTTTAGTCAAATGTCCCCAGAGGGAGTATCCTTTAATGTAAAACATATTCAAATGTTACAAATAATTAAAATGTTACCTTAGATAGTTAGAGATGGAGGTACGTAGTTGATCATAATTATATTACGAGTACTTCTTTCTTGATTAAGTAAGGTCGATAAGTAATTCGAGGTAAACAAAAATAGACAAAGAGGGAAGTGTATAAATACGCATTTGATAAAAGTTACGGAGTACTCATTTATTTGCCTATTTTAAGTTTAAAAAAAGGGACTAATGCTAGATTCACAAATAAAATATTCCTAAACTTCACAAACTTACTATTTATAGTTTAAAATTTTATTTTAAAATTATTTTAGACCATTTAATTTTTTCCATTCAAGGTCACAAATAGTAAGTTTGTGAAGTTTGTGATCATTTTATCTGTAAACCAAATACTCCATTCGTCCCAAAAAGATTTACACCTTTTAAAAAAATTGCGTTCCACAATCTCATACACATTTCTATTAAAAAATCACTTTTACCCCTTATTTTTTCAAACTCAACCTATCACATCATACTTTTTCTCTAATAATCTACACATCACATCATACTTTTACCCATCACATCAAGGGTATTTTTGGAAAGTCAACATAAAATTATTCTTTCCTTAATTTCAACTTTAGTCAAAAAGTATAAATATTTTTAGGAGTGAGGTAGCATTTCCCAAAAAGGAACATTTATTCATGTTGACATGCAAAAGGAACAAATACGTACGTACGTATTTCTTGATGTATGCATGCATATAGACAGTCTAAAGAGTGCAATAAAGGTATACAACGTGTTGGCAAAAAAGTAGGTTAAGGTTCCTATATACAGTATTTATTCCCGTCCCCAATTTGATTACAAATTGCGGGTTACGGAGTAAAATTTCTTACTTTTTAAAATCATTTTATTTACAAATTGGTATATCAATAAACTATAAAAATTACATATTCCGTATTAAACAACTACGTCAAAAGTTCTACAAAACAAGAGGTGACAAGAATATTTTATTTTATTAAATACTTGATGAAATCGCATAAACAAACAAAAGTGATCGAGAGGAGAGAGAAAAAAAGATTGTAATCTATTTAGGAAGGAATGAAGTATTTTATTTGAAGAAGTGACACTCTTAGGAGGAATGGGATTGAGTACTTGAATATTTGAGGCAATAGAGTCTTTTACTCTAGAGTCTTTTACTCGAAAAGGTAAACTTTTATTACTTCGAATTTTGAAAACATCAAGCTAAATATATAGCCTAAAATCTCATAAATAATAGGATCATGAACACCACAATACCACTAATCGTCAATAGACCTAAAAATTAGGAGATTGTTAAAGACTAAATACTAATTCAAATAAATTAAAGACTATTTCAAATTATCACAATTAATTAAAATAACTAATTTATTCAACATTCCCCTTTCCTTCTGGCCACATATATGATTTATGAAGCCTGTATCCAAATTCCAAGTTTGGTGATTTGTAGTTTCATTTGACAAAGATACCATTAATATTGCGTGATTACCTTCAACTTGTTCGTGATTACGAACTTCTTGGACATAGTTGGCATCCTGATTCTCACTTTTTGATCTGCACTCACTAGCCTAATAACCACGCTTGTGACAATTGAAGCACCGTACTCCACATTTGATTTTTTGTTCCATTCACAGCCACGTCCTCTCCAACTAGAGAAGTCTATGTAAAAGTTGTTCTAATCAGCACCTCCGCTGTTGTAACCCCAACGACCTCTGCTAGAGTGAGTTCCATTGTGTCATCCTCCTCTTCCACGTGAGTTTCTGATAGAATTTTAGGATGGGGTATGGATAACTGGATTGGGCAATAAGACAATTAGGTTGAACCACATTAAAAGATTGAATCCAATCGATTAGTTAGTTCAACTCAAGGACTTATATACCGGTTTATTTCTTCTTCAAGTTCCGATGTGGGATGACACTCTAACACTCCCCCTCAAGTGGACAACCGGGCCATTTTGAATCTAACCGGTTGACCACTTGCAAATAAACTCCCAACCCATTGACTTTTTTTTTGAGCGCCAACACCTAAAGACCACGAGCCGCTGGGTATGGACTTCCAGACGAGCAATCGTGTTAAACAGGCCACAGGCCGTTGGGTACACACTCCATACGGACAACTGGGCTAAAGACAAACGGGCCGTTAGGAATGAACGTCTAGACGGACACTTTGACAAACGAGGTGGGCTAAAACTGGCTCTGATACCATGATAGAATTTTAGGATGGAGTATGGATATCTGGATTGGGCAATAAGACAATTGGGTTGAACCACATTAAAAGATTGAATCCAATCGATTAGTTAGTTCAACTCAAGGACTTATATACCGGTTTATTTCTTCTTCAAGTTCCGATGTGGGATGACACTCTAACAGTTTCCACTCCTTTGACCAGAATCACCTATTGAAGTTTGTGCTTAAAAAGCTTGTTCAATTGGTTTGTCAACTTTGTCAATCTTACTTTCATTCATTCTTTGTTCATGTGCCCGCAAGGAACTTGACAATAATCTCACTGTCAATATGTCATTGTCGATGTGTCATTGCCTTCTTCAATTGCTGCAACAATATATGCTCAAACCTAGGTGTCAAAGATCGTAAAATCTTCTCTACCTTTTTTTGTTCGATCGGTTTGAGCCTCTTAATTGGACTTCATTTGATTTGCCAACGAAAGGACCCTATTGATATAAGTTTCAATAGTTTCCGTTGCCTCTATTTGTAACAGTTCATACTGGTGCCTCAACATTTGAAGGTGCACTCTCTCAATTTTGTCATCACCTTTGTATGATGCTGACAAAATGCTCCATGCTTCATTCGCGGTAATAGCTCCCTCAATCTACTCAAATGTTTTGTCGTTCATTCCTTGGTGAATGAAATATAGTGCCTCTTGTCCTTCTTTCTTCTAGTCACGATGAGTTGTTTGTTGCCCCTTAGTTGCATTTTCAGCCAATTCAGTCATTCCATCATTCACGATTTGGTCATGATAGTCGAACAAAATTTTCATGTGGACACTCCAACGATTGTAATTCTTCCCATCTTTTTCAAGGATTGAGACAGATAGGGTATTCATGATAACAGACCGTTTAGGCTCTGATATCAATTTGAAGAACTAACACTTAGGAGTGATTTGACTGAATACTGAATAATATTGAGGCAATGGTCTTTTACTAAATAATAGGATCATGAACACTACAAATCTACAATACCACTAATCCCCAAATATATAGTCTAAAATCTCCTTAAAAAAATCTCCTAAATAATAGGATCATGAACACCACAATACCACTAATCCCCAACAAACCTAAAAACTAGAAAATTGTTAAAGACTAAATAATTCAAATAAAGACCAATTCAAATAAAGACTAATTCAAATCAAGATTAATAAAGACTAATTATATTCAAATTATCAGAATTAATTAAAATAACTAATTCTTTCACCAATATGGAGTAATATTATGAGTGCAAATGATGATGATTAACAACATGAGACAAACTAAGAAATAAGGAGCAGCATATATGGAATGAAAAAGTGCATATATAGATGCATATACGCAAATGAAAAAGGTCCCCTGGCCATATAGATGCATATATGGAATGAAAAAGTGCTCTATTATTACACTTTAAGATCCGCAACGAAAAGATAAAGAGAAGCGCCCACCAGGTACATCTAGACATCCTCCCCGGTGACCAAAGGCTCGCGTAATCCTGTAGATATACCGTCTTCGCGAGAATCATGGAGAGCGTGTCGACCCCCATACAAAATTGCTGAAATGCTGACATCAGCTAAGATAGCCACCAAAACAAGGAAGTGATCACTACTGTCCAACTTGGAAACCCGTACCGTAGCTGTAGTGATAAGAGTGTTGAAAATGCCCAGAACATATCGCATTTCTGCGACATATACAAAACAAAGCCACCCTCCAGCGAACAGGTAAATGGAACCTGCTACAAACAAGTGTGTCTGGCCTCCCACCACGCCAAGAAATATGGCGAGTGGGATGCACACACACTTCTCCACTATAGCTACTCCTACATTCATACGGAGAATATCACGCAATGTGGCATCGACCATAGATAGAGTAATCAATAGGAGAGCAACTGGTAACGCCATCCCCAGGATAATGAAGAAATATGTCTTCCCTCCATAGCCCCAAATACCATTGAAGTGAGTGAAGCTCAAGCCCGAAAATGAAATACAAACAAATGCGGCCAACATGCACCATCCCCACTTCTGGATTGCACGACTACAAAAGCCTCTCGTGCCTCTCCAGAAAGTAGTCGTCAACTCTAATAAATGTAAAAAAACACAAATGTTACTCCATATATTATATTACTTGTAGAGACCGACTAAATAATTTATGCGTCTCTTTGATTATTCAACTCATGCTCATAGTCATCGCATATTTTCCCTTCATTTTAAAATAAAATACTTCCTCCGTCACATAAAGTATTACCTATTTTGACTAAAGTTGAAAATAAAAGAGGAATAATTTTGTGTTGACTTTTCAAAAATACCCTTGATGTGATGGGTAAAAGTAGGATGTTATGTGTAGATTATTAGAAAAAATGTATGATGTGATAGGTAGGGTTTGAAAAAGTAAAGGGTAAAAGTGGTTTTTTAATAGAAATGAGTAATGGATTTTGGGACGCAATTTTTTTGAAACGTGTAAATCTTTTTGGGACGGAGGGAGTAAAATTCATAACTACTGGCAGTCCACTTTTATGTCCACATGTGAAACATATTATATTTACCCTTAAACACACAATTTCCTATTCTACCATGATATAGGTACACCAAAGGTGTACTTAAGTTATACTCGTGCAACAATATTTTAACGGTTTACACAGTCACAAATTGCTAGTTCAATAAAAAAAACTCCATATTATATATGGTAATTTACCTAAACAAAACTAAAATATAATGATTTTCTCAATATAAGACCATATGTTTTTATTTCTTAATGTGGAACCATATATTAGTGATTATCCATTGTCCACTATCATCAGACATTTTTCATTCCACTAGATATTATTAAGTACTCCCTCCGTTTGCAAAAAAGGTTCCTACTTTGACTTGGAGCCAAAATAAGAAAATATAAAATTATAGTTGACTTTCAATTTTGCCCCTGATGTGATGGGTAAAAGTAAGATGTGATGGATTGATTATTAGAGAAAAAGTATGATGTGGCAGGTGGGGTATGAAAAAGTAAGGGTAAAAGTGGTTTTTTTAATAGAAAGAGGAAGTGTTTTGTTGGAAGTGAAAAAAATGAAAGAGGAAGTGTTTTAAAAAACGGAAGGAGTACTATTTAGAAAATAAAAAAGTTTAAGTAGTCCTTCATTGGGAAACTAACTTATGTTTTAGTAATATTTAATGCAAATTTCACTATTATACATTCCATCCGTCCCATCTTGATTATAATTTTTTTCTCTCTCCATAACTTTTGTTTATTTACGCGATTTCATTAAGTATTTGAAAAAAATATTTTAGTTAAATCTTGTTTTATACTCCGTATAACTTTTGACGTAATTTTTTTAATACGGAGTATATAATTACATCGACTATCCAATACTCCACATATAATACTCCTCTCTAAAAAAGAACTTCACTATGTACACACATTTTATATATATATATATATATATATATATATATATATATATATTATATTTATTTATTTATTTTTATATTTGTGATTGTGTGTATGTGTGTGTGCGTGTTTGCACAAAACAAAATGAAGTTTTAAGTTTATTGAAATCATTTTATTTAAAGATTGACATATAAATAAAAATAAAACTTAGTTATGCCTAAACTTTTACAAATTAAAAAGTGATAAAAGTATTTAATTTTTTCAATTAATTAATAAAAATGCATTAAACAACAAAAATTTTGTGATTTTTAATAGTGAAGTGCAGTGCAAATTTTTTTTTTTTTTTGGGACTAAAGGATTAAGGATCACAGTAGATAAAGGCCGGATAGTGAAAAACTTTCTAATTCAAATGAAATCAAGACTGATTGTAATATTCAACTTGTTGCGAGTATATTGCAAACAAAAAAAAGGAAAAAAACACACACACAAAATATGTACTCCGTATAAAAAATGGAATGGTAGAAACTCCGTAGAAGAAAAAGGATGGTTGAGGACAAACCTGTTGCGTAAAACCATGCTATAGCCCGAAAAAACCCTGCAAAAGATTTAGGTGCACAATATTTTAGTCTAGCTAGAATAAAGAAACCGGATGAGGATGAAGATTATTGAGGATTTGAGGGTCCATGATTGTATTACCTATATATTGTAAAGTACGCAAATGTATGCCATAATATTAATTAATGAGGCAAGAGCAATATTTATTGTACTTATGCATTCTTGTTAAAGTTGTGTTATATATATATATATATATATATATATATATATATATATATATATATATATATATATATATATATATATATATATTTTGGTTCTGGTGAGAATGCAATCTTAGGAGAGAAATGAGAATAAATCTGGTGCTTTAGATTGTGAGATCTAAGGGTCAAGATTTCATCAAAATTAGATGCACCAAAATGGTGCGAAAATGCATCACGTCGAAATGCACTATCTCAAAATCTGAGCGCAGGATGCAATCTGAGCCGCACGATGCATCAGATCCGACGGCTAGATTTTATTCTCATTTCTCTCCACAAGGTGCATTCTCACGAGAACCGGACCCTATATATATATATATATATATATATATATATATATATATATATATATATAAGGTAAAATTGGAAGTGAACTAGAATATAAAACTTAACTACTCCATACTTATTTTGAGTTTTGACACTTGGTCAAGGTTGGAATTGTTTTCAAAGTAAATTCTTAAATTTTATTAACACTATGTTTGGTTCAAGGGATATGGAAGGAAAAGAAAAAAAATAATTTTATGTTGTTTTCCTCACCAAATTAAAATGGGAGGAGTTTCATTTTTCCTGCACACAGTACATTTTGTCTTTTCATTTTGTTTTGCTTTCACTTTTCATTTCTCTTACCCATTAACCAAACAAGGAATACAAATTCTTACTTTATTCTCTTTCTTTTTTCCTTTCAAATTTTTTGAATCCAACATAATATAAATGAAAGTCTAAACAATTAGGGCAGAAAATTCAGAAGTCCCAAAGTTAAAGCACAAAAAATTGCAATCCCTTTATTTTTGCAGCACTGATCGAATCAGGCCATATTCATATATGCGGTCATTAACAATGAACAATCAGTATGTAATATCGTCAGAGGAAAATCTGATTTTGTTTTTTACGTTGTACGTCGTCAAGACGTACTATACTGAATATTTGAAATATTCATATACTCCGTATAAAAATAGAAATTAAATACTGTAGCTTACGGAGAGGGATGGCTTGGACATTCTGGACCTTCTCCGGTAGAGTAAGTTTCCATTTTAGCCGTCGATCTACAAAATACCAAATGAAATTTGGATTATGTTGAAGCCTATATACTCAAAAAAGTTCAAAATAATGTTGAAAAAGTTACATCCATCGAGCATTTCTAGCAATCATGATGAATATATGAATGCAATAATAATAGAAACAAAATTGAGGGTCACTATCTTCGATCGGCTGGTATCAGAAGTTACCAGCCGTGGTGCAGTTATGGTTTCAGCAAAAATGGCAATGTCTGAAGACATGTTTACACTCAAAAACGAACAAGTTAAGCAGGAAAAAAGCAATAAAAAATGAAGAATCTGCAGACGAACGTTGAAAACAGAAAGGAATTGAAAAAAAGCACATGAAATTTCAGAGATTTATTGTACGTCTGTGTAGTCGATCATCTGGATTCAACTTCCGAAGCCGATGAGCTCGATCGGAAATCCATTAATGAGAACATCACATCCGAAAACATCAAACTCCTTTTTAGTGAAGGATGAAAATAGAATAAACTAAAACCCTAACAACGGCCACCATATGCGTCGGTATAAGCAGACGATCGAGATAGCGAGAAGATGTAGAGATATTAGCTTCCAATTGTTTTCCTTTTCTCTTTTGTACCAGCTGTCATTTATATCCCCACTATGCCAGCTGTCATTTTGTGCTTCTTTTCTTCTGTTGTATAAATATATCCACCCACGTGTAAAATGGGTTGATAGAGAGAGTTTGTTGTAACAGACTTTAATGGAATAAGTTTTCTTTTCAGATTTTTCTTCTTCTCTCTCTCAACATGGTATCAGAGCTAGAATTGATGGAAGATCTTATACGAATCAATTGATCTATCCATCGTTCTTCGGATTTCCTCTCAAATCTACAGATTTCAGCTCTGAATCTGCAACAATGGAAGAATTGCGAACTGTCGGCAACGCCGGAAATCAATCGGCGGATCCTTTAGGCTTGACGGGACAAGATAACCCTGGCCTCGCCCTCACCACTGCGAAATTCACAGGAAACAACTTCTTCGCCTGGAAGAAGACTATCACCATGGCACTTGGAGCTAAATCAAAACTAGGTTTCATAGATGGAACATGTAAGAAGCCTGCTATTACAGATCCTAACTACCAGCGCTGGATAAGGACAGACTATATGGTTACTTGTTGGATTCTAAATTCGATGAGCTCAGATCTGTCCGATTCATTCCTGTATGTCAATTCTGCAGAAGAGTTATGGTCAGAGATTGGAGAACGTTATGGAAGCACCAACGCGCCTCTCATCTACCAAACACAGAAGGAACTTAATGAGATTCATCAAGGAAACATGACTGTATCTGCATACTTCACCAAACTTAAGAAATACTAGGAGACTTTGCAAGAGCTGAATGGATTTCCAGTGTGTGAATGCGGAAAAGTGAAGGAGTGCAAATGTGATTTCATGGAAAAATGGACAGCAATCGAGAATAGGAACAAGTTAATGCAGTTCTTGATGCGTCTCAATGATGATTATGAAGGAATTCGTGGAAATCTTCTCGCAACTGAACCACTGCCCACCTTAAGTCGTGCATTTTATATAATACAACAAATTGAGACACAGAGAAATGTCACACGTAGCACTCGAGAGTCATCAGCATTCTTCATCAACAATGATACAAGAAGAATGCCACCACAGAGGAGGGAAGATAGGAAGCAGAGATTTGGTGATAGAAAATATTGCAGGCACTGCAAAAGTGAAGGACATGTATATGAGCAGTGTTTTGAGAGAGTGGGCTATCCAGACTGGTACAAAGGAAGGAGAACCAATAAGGCAGGACCATCAAGGCTAGCAGCACATATCGTGCATGATGAAAAATCAGAAGAACCAAGCATGGATAGTCCTTTTGATTGCAACAGTGGAGGTCAACAAAACAAAGCGCAAATTGACCAAGGGCTCATATCAAGCATATGTCAAGAAGTGGTGAAAATGTTCGAGGAGAGAAGTGTACAAGGAGATTCCAGTGAGTTTAATCTCACCACTGCCAACTTTGCAGGTATGGCACCTGATCCCTCTTTTGTTCTAACCAGTCTGAGCAATAATGTTGGTTTAAAGTGGCCTTGGATAGTTGATACAGGAGCATCTGATCATATGTCACCCCATCTTGAACTTTTCCATAACACCAAGATTTTGTCTGATCCCATTCCAATCACTTTGCCTGATGGGACAATTAAAAAGGTTGATAAAGTGGGACATGTTTATATAAATCCACAATTGACATTACAAAATGTATTGTTTGTCCCAGAATTCAAGTTTAACTTACTATCTGTTGGAAAAATCCTATCTGCCAATTCTTGGATTGCCCATTTCTCACACAATTCCTTCTTGTTCCAGGACCCTATAACTAAAGGGACCATAGCTTCTGGCAAAGGGCAAAATGGTCTTTACATTCTACAAGCCCACTCTTCCAGTCCTTCCAAAGGAGTTCCAGTCTCTTCCGCCACTATTCAGAATCAAAGTTTCCAGCCTGCCTCTTTTATTTCAGTAGCTAATGTGTCCAATAAAGAGTCACTGTACAAATTTCATATGAGATTGGGTCATACTTCAATGTCAAAATTGAGTCATCTTATTGATTGTAAATTTCTGCATCAAAATAAACTTGATTGTGATGCTTGTTCCATGGCAAAAATCCACAAACTCCCTTTTCCCACAAATACTGTTATTACTTCTGATTCTCCATTTCATTTGATACATATAGATCTGTGGGGACCTTATAAAACACCAGCCTTGAATGGGGCAAAATATTTTTTAACCATAGTGGATGATAAAACTAGAACGACTTGGACCTACCTGTTGCACAATAAGGATCAAGTTAGTTCCATCATTCAAACCTTCATTTCTTATGTAAAAAACCACCACCATACACAACCAAAATTTGTGAGAAGTGACAATGGCACTGAGATTGTTAGAACTGAGTGTGATCAACTGTTTTGTACCCTTGGCATTGTGCACCAGAAAACCATGACCTACACTCCACAACAAAATGGAGTAGTAGAGAGAAAACACAGACACTTACTTGAGACAGCCAGAGCCCTAAAAATTCAAGCCAATCTCCCAGCTTTCTTTTGGGGGGATTGTATTCTTGCTGCCACTTATCTCATCAACAAAATGCCCATGGAAAAACTGTGTTGGAAAACCCCCTTTGAGGCCCTATTTCATTCTCCACCCACATATGACAATCTTAGAGTCATTGGTTGCCTGTGCTATGCCAAAGTAGCAGGCAAAACCACAGATAAATTCGCTCCCAAGGGTAGAAGATGCATTTTCATTGGCTATCCTTTGGCACAAAAGGGTTACAAAGTATATGATCTGGCCACCAAAACCACATTTCTCAGCAGAGATGTCACTTTCCATGAAGACATCTTTCCCTACAAACTCATGTCTCATTCCGCAGATCATATCCCTGATTTCTTTCACCCTACTCCCTTTTCTGTCACAGATGAAGAAGAATCTACTTCCTCTCTTCCATTCCCTGAATCTCATTCAGCCCCTTCTTCACCATTCCATGGATCATCATCTTCCTACCCAAATAATGATGGTCATGAAAGTCCTACTGATTCTTCTTCACCTACAGGAGACACTGATTCCTCTTCCTCTCCACTTCCTTCCAGACCTCACAGAAACAAAACAGTTCCAGCAAAGTTTTCAGACTACATTTGTCCTACTTTCAAAACACGATCTATGACCAATTGTTCCACAGCTCATCCTTTATCTTTCCTCAGTAGTTCCGTTTCTCTTCCTCTAGGTTTCACTAGTTTCATTGCTAATGTACTCAGTGTCCAAACACCCACCACTTATGCTCAGGCTAGTCAGGATCCGAGATGGGTCACTGCCATGTCTCAAGAATTGGCAGCTCTTGAGACAAACAACACCTGGACTCTCAGTACCTTGCCCAAAGGTCAGAAGGCCATTGGTTCCAAGTGGGTTTATAAAATTAAATACAACCCTGATGGTACAATTGAGAGGTTCAAGGCTAGATTGGTTGTCAAAGGATACAATCAAAAACTAGGTCAGGACTACAAACATACTTTTTCTCCTGTGGCTAAATTACCTACTGTTAGAGTTGTTTTAGCTTTGGCAGCAGCATTTAATTGGGCGTTGCATCAACTCGACGTCAACAATGCTTTCCTTCATGGATATCTTGAAGAGGACATTTACATGCACCCTCCTGAAGGGTATACTCAATTTTTACCTGGCCAAGTTTGCAAGTTACAACGCTCTCTTTATGGTCTCAAACAGGCCTCTCGTCAGTGGAACTTGGAAGTGAGCACTTTCCTTATCAGCCTTGGATACATTCAATCCAAACATGACTACTCTCTGTTTGTTAAAAGGTCTGATGAGACCTTCACCTTAGCATTGGTTTATGTCGATGATATGCTTCTCACAGGAAATTCACCACATGAGATTTCTCACACAAAGCTTGCCTTGGATCACAAATTTACCATTAAGGATCTTGGTGAGGCCAAGTATTTTCTAGGTATGGAAATTTGTAAAACACAAGATGGTCTTCAGCTTCATCAACGAAAATACATTTTGGACATTCTGTCAGATGCTGGCCTTACAGGAACGAAGCCAACTAAATTCCCTTTACCTCAGAATTTGAAGCTTTCTCTGCATACTGGCAAGCCTTTGACTGATCCTGAGCCTTATAGGCGCCTTATTGGAAGGCTTCTTTATCTTGGCCTAACTAGACCAGATGTTTCTTACTCTGTTCAGCACCTTAGTCAGTTTGTGTCTGCTCCCACAAATCTTCATATGCAAGCAGCCACTCATGTTCTTCGGTATCTCAAAGGCACCATCTGTCATGGCCTTTTCTATCCCATACAACAGAATATTTCTCTTACTGGCTTTACTGATGCTGACTGGGGGTCTTGCCTCATGACCAGAAAGTCTCTAACTGGGTATTGCATTTTTCTGGGCCATGCACTTGTTTCTTGGAAAACAAAAAAAACAATCCACTGTTGCCCGGTCCTCTACTGAAGCTGAGTATAGAAGCATGGCTGCTACCACTTGTGAGCTCCTATGGCTAAGCTACTTACTTCATGATTTACACCAAGATGTTTCTCTTCCTATCACACTCTTTTGTGATAATAAGGCAGCTCAACAAATAGCTGCTAACCCTTGTTACCATGAGCGCACCAAGCATTTTGACATTGATTGCCACTTTACTAGAGATAAAGTTCAAGATGGTTTCTTGCGGACTGCATATATTCCTTCTCATCATCAGTTGGCAGATATCATGGCTGCTACCACTTGTGAGCTCCTATGGCTAAGCTACTTACTTCATGATTTACACCAAGATGTTTCTCTTCCTATCACACTCTTTTGTGATAATAAGGCAGCTCAACAAATAGCTGCTAACCCTTGTTACCATGAGCGCACCAAGCATTTTGACATTGATTGCCACTTTACTAGATATAAAGTTCAAGATGGTTTCTTGCGGACTGCATATATTCCTTCTCATCATCAGTTGGCAGATATCATGACTAAAGCCTTGGGTGCTTCGCAACATACTTCTTTATCTCTCCAGTTGGGCCTTCGACTGGCTCCAACTTGAGGGGGGGATGTAGAGATATTAGCTTCCAATTGTTTTCCTTTTCTCTTTTGTACCAGCTGTCATTTATATCCCCACTATGCCAGCTGTCATTTTGTGCTTCTTTTCTTCTGTTGTATAAATATATCCACCCACGTGTAAAATGGGTTGATAGAGAGAGTTTGTTGTAACAGACTTTAATGGAATAAGTTTTCTTTTCAGATTTTTCTTCTTCTCTCTCTCAACAGAAGATGATAGAAGCCGAGAGATTAAGAACGAGAAGGTACCGGATAATTAAGTGAGATTCAGCTTATTGAACAGAAGCCGAGAGATTAAGAACGAGAAGGTACCGGATAAGTGAGATTCAGCTTATTGAACAGACTATTCAATGTTTTCTCCGTGAAAACCGATCCGCAGAAGCTTGAAACGAATGAAGAGCTCAAAAAATCACGAAGACGACGATGGAAAAAGGTTTCCCGGCGCTAACATCTACTTTTCCGGCGAACAATCGCAATGCTTCGCTCGACGACGACGAGAAAATACTCAAGTATTGAGATCTGAGATGGCCGGACAAGATGTAGAGATAGAGAGAAAGAGAAAAAAACTGTGGAGGAGCTAATAAAGGTGGAAGAAGCAGGCACGACGCCGGCGAAGAAGGCGGTGCGTGTGTAAGAGAGAGAGAGAGGGAGGATCCGTGCCGCGTCACGTGACAAATAACAGCCTGCACGCGAGGATTTGTGGTCCTTCCCTCTTTAAATTACCATTCTGTCCCTTCTAAAGGGCGCCTTTTTCTGTTTTTGATCCCCTCGCCCAAACATATCCATTTGTGTCATTCCACGTATTTTTATTCTTTAAACCAAATATTTTAGGCCGTTTGAAATTAGTGGGGTGCAGGGTGCATTGGAGATAGGGTGGGATAAGGGGTTCATCGGAAGGATTAGTGGATATATGAACAATCAATTTTACGATCAAAGTAACGTAGATATTATAATTGAATTGGCGTAACGATTTTACGCCAATTGGATTGGTGTAAAATTACCCTTCTCGTTAATTAGTACTTCTTCCGTCTCAAAAAGATGTTCCAATTTGGACTTTTAAGAAATTTAATGGACGATTATTTTCGTGTTGACTTTCCAAAAAGATGTAAGTTATGATGGTGGATTGTTAGTAAAAAAAATGATGTGATATACGGAGTAATGTTAAGAATTAAAAACAATAAAAATAGATTTTTAATAGAAAAAGAGCTTATGGGATGAAAAATAATGTGAGGGAAAGAGTTTTTGGACATAGTGAATATTAAAATAAATACACACGTACAAATTTCTTTTTCCGTACCTATACTTTTTCTTCTCCAACCAACCATATTTATTATATTGGCTTGCTAATTTTATATTTTAGCAAGTGAATAGTGATATAGCAAGCAATTTTTTGTTTCATTTTCCAACCATAAGTTGCTAACCCATTTTACAACTCTTAGCTTGCTATATTTTGGAAAATTTGTTATATTTAGTCAGTCAACCTAATTCTTTAGCAAGCTTGCTATAATATAACACAACCATTGGAGATGAAAAAAAATGATTGGCTTGTTATATCATAGCTTTAGCAAGCCAAAATGGAATGATTGGAGATGCTCTAAGTCCCTAACATTCGGAATAGCGCACGAACCTAGAGAATGGAAAAGAGAAGAAAAAAGCATGTGCGTTTAATGAAATTAATTACTCCACTACGTACATACTCCGTAAGTTCGTACAATTTTGCTTGATAAAGTATCAAGCTAGACAAATACTCCATCTGTCCCAGAGTATTTGTCCACTTTCATTTTTACACACCATTCAATATATTTTTTTAATCTATTTTATCTTATAATTTGTAAATTAAAAATTATAGAAATTATATATTAATAATCTATATGTTAAGACAAATCAAACAAGATCATACATGACTATATTTAGACTTATAAATTGAGAGAATTTGATGAGTCAAAGTACTTAGATGAACAATTTCAAAAGTCAAAAGTGGACGAATATAGCGAGACGGAGGTAGTATTATGTAAATGAGTGAATTGGGATTTAGGAGTATGCTTTCTATTTTGGTACATTTACAATATTATACAGAGTACTGTGTACTTAATAATTACTCTTTTCATCTATTTTGATTCCCCTCATTTGACTTTTTACTGAATTTATAAAAATAGATACGTACTTCGTATTACTCCATCCGTTCCAAAAAGATTTACACGTTTCAAAAAAAAATTGTGTCTCACAATCCCTTACCCATTTCTATTAAAAAACCACTTTTATCCCTTTTTCAAATCTTACCTATCGCATCATATCTTTTTCCTAATAATCTACACATCACATCAAGGATATTTTTGGAAAGTCAACACAAAATTATCTCTCCCTTAATTTCAACTTTAGTCAAAATGTGTAACACTTTATGGGACGAAGGAAGTATAAAAATACAATATTCCAAAATTATGTTTCAAAATGAATTTATTAATATTAAATTTATAGCACAAGCCAAAGCATCTTTTTCATAAATTGTAATCAAAATTTAAAAATATTAATCATGAAAATCAAATTACGAAGAATCCAAGTGGGCGAAATAAGTAATTAATTAATACAATTCTATGTGGTGAATTAATAAATAATGTGGAGTAATTATATGTGGATAAGTTGAGTGTGTTTAAGTCTTATTTGAGATAAGTTTTTTTTATATAAAAAGTTAATAATCCGTTTGTTGGGAAAATTTAAAATTTGGCTAATTAACATTTTACAGGATTTGGGAAATTTAGGTCTTATGTGATATAATCTGATTTTTTGAAAATTTGATCTGGTTGGATTTGATTTTATTATGGTAATAATTAAAACTAGAGTAAATTGCATAAAAGGTCCCCAGCTATATGTCGTTTTACATATTTAGTCCCTACATATCAAATATTACTAATTTAATCCCCAATTATTATATTCATTTCCACGAATGTCTTTTGTTAACATTTCTGTTAAGAACATGGACAAAATTGTATATTCATACTTCTCTCTCCTCAATTAAGCTTCGTCCATCTTCTCATACTCTTTCCCAAATTCGTCGCTGAGTTTGAAGCTCTTAAACCCAAAACTTAAATGATCGTTCCTCCAGTTAAATAAACAATTGAGAGAAGAGTGATGCTTTTAGTTTTGGGTTCAAAGCTAGAAACTCAGCGACGAGTTTAGAAAAGGAGTGCAAGGGAAGAAGGAAGCTTAATTGAGGAGAGAAATGAGTGTGAATTTATAATTTTATCTACATTTTAATGAAAATGTTAACAAAGGACCATTCGTAGAAATGAATATAATAATTGGAGACTAAATTAATAATATTTGATATGTAGGGACTAAATATGTAAAATGATATATAACTGAGGACCTTTCATGGAATTTACTCTTAAAACTATTTTTAATTTTATTTGACCTAGTTTGATTTGAATAGTATAGTCTGATCTAATCTAATTATAAAAAAATTAATACAGAGTAATAAATAGAAAAACACGGAGTACTTGTAAGTCCGAAACGTTAATTAGCTCGAAAATTTATTAGTACTAATGGAATTTATTTATGAGTTCGGGGCTTTGGGCGCTAATACTCCGTACGAAATGCCAAATTCTTGCCCTGCTGGATTGTGCACGCGCCTATTTCAACCAACCATATTCTTTTGAAATGTGATTTTAGAATGAAATATTTGCACTATATAGCACTAAAACTTAAGTCATTTCTCTAAATGATATTTAGATTGTTTTCTTCTCTAAATAGCACTTTATAATATCCATAATGACCAGTGATAACAAGCATTTACTTGAATAATGACTAATAGATAATGACTAAAAGTGCTAGATTAAGAAAAAAACATATATAGTGCTATTTAGGAAAAGTCATTATGTTTTAGTACTGTTTAGGTAAACTGCTCTTTTAGAATTGGTTTTTGGAAGAAATTGGAATGACATAGAAAAAAATTGAAGGAATTCAAGGAAATTCAAAAAAAAATTCAAAGAAACTGGAAAGACTTAGAAAATATTGGAAAAAATGAAAGGTATTGAAATTTCATGCTTTTATTCAAAATATTTTTTTAAAAACTATTTTCATTTAATCAAAATAATATAATACAAAATTTGTTTATTTTAATTTTTTGTCTCATTAAAATTAACTATTCATCACACTTTTTAAGATTCTTATTTTATTCTTGATATTTCATGCGTTTATTCACTTATTGACATAATTTAACCTCAAAATAGTTCTACTCGGTATATTTTTTAGAGTAATTTGTACTCTATTTATATTAACCTTTTCTTTTTATTTAAATATATCAAACCATTTTGTTTCAAATTACATGAATATTTTTTTTGAAACATACATGAATATTAATTCTTTTGAGGCTCATATAGCCATACTTATGATTTTTCTCACTTTTTTAATCAATAGCAGTAATACAATATTTGAAACACCAAAGAGTAAATTAAACCATATAAGTATATTTTAATAGAACACAGTATAATATTAGCATCATTAATCCAAATTTATAAAGTGTATTAATGCGAGGTTTTATAACGAACAAGCACTAGATTCTGCATGCAATTTTTGAATTCGAAATAGGAAAAATTCACATCAATATTCTCAAATGCAGGAGTTTACATGAATACACCAAGAATCATTAAATGACACCAATAATGTTTCTAAAATTTTCCTATATTTACATTATTTCTCTGAGAATTAATTGTGTTTACTTCAATGCTCCAAATGTTGGGCATTCATGTAAGCATATTTCAATTCTTGGAGTACTCGTGTTAATATAGAAAAAACCAGGGAGCATTGATGTCATTTATTGAATTCTAGAGTCTTTACATAACCTATTGAAATTTTGGAGTATTGGTGTGATTTATCCTTTAAAATACCACTAATAAGAAATTATTTATTTTTGGGTTTTATTGTCTATAACACCCAATAAAATCTACAAATTCCTTCCTTAATTTCTCTATACTTATTAAGCTTGGATGACGAGATATTTTCACTTTTTTAAATTACCAAAAATAATCTCAACTTTACCTGGTCTTTCAAAAATAATCCCACCTTTCACTGTGATGCATAATAATCCCAACTTTATTGATATTCGCCAGTTTTGGGTCACCGTGAAGTTTCTAACGGACGGTTAATGGAAATGCCTGTTTTAGGCAACAAAATGAAAGTTGAGATTATTTAAACTTCTTGTGAAATTGGAAAGAGTTGAAATGAACGAGAACTAATTCTTCAAATCAAAAGAACATGACCTAATAAACGTCTATCATTTCTTATCTTTCATTTTAAAAAACATAAAAATTATAACCTTTTGTTTAGATGTGGGGAGAAAACGATAGAAAGAAATGAAAGGAAAAAAATGATGAAAAGATAAAATTAGAAGAAAATTGTAGTGCTTTTGAATGATAAAAAATGGTAATAAAATAGTAAGATCAGAAAAAACGAAAAAAAAAATGAAAAATTGAAACGGACCAAGAGAAGAATTCTATGCATTACAAATGTAAAAATTCTTACGACTCAATAATTTTCTTCAAACACAAAATATTATTCTTCCGTCCCACAAAAAAGTTCCTATTTTGGTCATAAATTGGTCAAATAGTAACTTACTTGACCAAAAATTAAATACGGAGTATAATCTAAATAAAGAAATGCTAAAAAAATTTGAGATATCAAAACTAGATTCTAAGATGAATCCAATTATATTAAATTTATTTTATAATTCAATATACATTTCTCACAATTTGTAGTCAAAGCGTGTAAATATTTGACAAAATACTATTCAAAATGAGAACTTTTTTATGGGACGGATGAAATATTTTTTTGCTTTGATTTCTTTTTGACAAGGTTTCTTTGAAAGTAATAGGAGTACTTATTCTTATTAAAATCAAATTCATTTTTTCAGTTTAATATTTATTCTTATTAAAATCATATCAGAAACAATCATATAAGACGAGATTAGATTAAATTAGATTAGACAAGATTTGAAAAAAAATTAGATCTGATCAGATTACACGAATAGTATGCAACCTTAGATTGTTATTTAAGTTGGTATCATGTATTTTTTTTCTCAGTATGTCCGTATGTTGTATCATGTACAAATAAAGAAAAAGACTAAAGTATGAATAAAATATTGAAAATATATCAAAATAGAATTTTTATATTTTTATTCTTAAAATAGAATTTAAAATGTATTTACATTACCAAATATTATCATATACATTACCAAAAGTATAATAATGTGCATATGTATAGTGCCACATTACCACAGTGCGAATAAAAACATAGAACTCTTATTTTGCTATTTTTTCTATATTTTAGTGCTATTTAAGGTGATTTTTAATACGAATACACCTGTATTTTATGCATTTTAGGTACAGAGTGTCTACTAGGTTTGATTTAATTTTAATATAGGTCTTCATGCTAAATTTTAGGACTTACCATATCTGATACCTTATGGTAGAGAACTTAACTCATACAGTATCAATACTGCTTGTATCGAATAGTCTTTATTTTTTCCCGTGTGTTATTTTACACAAAAATACATATTATTAGAGGGAGACTTAGGGCGGAGCTGGGGTGGGAGGGTACAAGTGAGGCTAGGGTGGAGGGTTTAAGAGGTGAGTTAGATGAGTAGGAATCATCAATTTTTTAATTGGAGTATCGGTGGTGCTCCAAAAATGTAGTGACAGTGCTTGTGTTACCATTGACCAGTGTCAAGTCCTGCCAACAGAACCCCACTCAAATGATATTGGATTTTACACAATAAAAATGATACTCTATATTATGCTAAATATTTTTTTGAGTTGTTCTTGAACCACGCGATTAAATGTATTTGAAGTTTTATACTCTCCCCATCATATAAATATATTTTATATTTTATCAATTTATTTTATTCAAAAATTGGTATATAAATAAAAAATATAAATATTAAAAAACTACGTAAAATTTTTACAAAATAAGCTGTGACAAAAAAATATGAAATATTTTATTTTATCAAATACCTAATAAAAATTTACAAAAAAAAATTTCTATAATTTTATAATAGGGAAAATATAAATAATTCTGTAACGAAGAGAGCAATATAATATAAAAAATAAGAACTAAAACTATTTTTTCCACGTAAAAATATACAGAGTAGTTTAGACTTTAGAGTTAAAAATAGTCGGGTATAAAATTCTTCATCGTTTAAATTTACAAAAATACTAGGGATACATCAATATTTGTACCCCATTTATACCCCCTCCATCTCCATCACACAAAAGCAAGAAAAAAAAATTAAAATTACAAAAGGAAATCTAGCAGTCCTCTTAAATTTAAATTCTAATACAATGGGTCTTTGTCCGATACACACTATAGATCCAATGAATCTTGGGGAATTGAGTCGGATCAAACATTTGACCCATTAGGAGCCACTTCACCTCGTCCGCGAAGTGGGCTCATCGAGACTGCGACAGAGCTCATATCCGCCCGCACCCATTAGATAGGTTCCATAGTCTTCCAGACGGCGAAAATTTGAATCTGATATGCGGGCTGGTATCGCGCCATTCAGCACTCCTGGCGCATAGAAAATGATTAATTTCTAGGGTTTATGTTATTGTTTGCAGTGCTCTCTCTGCTCTGTCTCATAGTAACAAACCGAATCAAAGATCACACAAGTCACATATCTGATCACAAGAAGATGTCTATTGGCGTCCGCGAAGTATGCATTCTAGGAGCTTTCAAGCCATTCGGGCTGGTCGCCGAAGCTATGGACGGAAACCCCCCGGACAGTTTATCTGGGGATTACACTTACTCCCTCTTCAGCCCGGAACTCACCAAACAAAGAGAAGTTGCTGATGGCTTCAATTCGACCTCACATCCCAGTGATCGGAGCGACCACGAGCTTTTTGTTAGAGGGGATAGGTAATCTCAGCTCGTATGCATTTCTTAAAGTTTTTTCAATTCATTCTATTTACATATTGGTAAAGAAATAAAAAATAAAAATCACATATCAAAAAACTACATTAAAAATTCTTCGAAATAAGATGTGTTAAGAATATTTTATTTTATCAAATAACCAATGAAAACGTAGAAATAAACAAAAGTTCTCTCGACTGTTGAAAAAGCAAATGTGACAAATAATTAGGAATGGAGGGAGTATCAAATTTCAGTTGTATTTCTTGCAAAAACAGCATTTTGATTGGAATTTGGCGTAGTGGTTCTAGGATTGGGTGGAGCAGCCCATCCCATAAAACTTTTCAAAGTAAAAAAGGGTGCACCCAAAAAATGGGCGTTTTTTTCTTTGACTCGTCTATCATACAACTGGGTTGTTGTTGTTGTTGACTCGTCTATCATACACATCATATCCTATTTTATTATAAAGTTAGGTCAAAAATAAAAAAATAATATCAAAATTGCACATTTTTAGGGCACACCTTTTTTCGTATTTGAAAAGTTTTATAGGACGGAGGGATTATGTTTTTGTCAGTGAATACTGCTTGTTCATTTCAAATTCCAATCATATTTTCTGCAAAGCCAACATTTTGATATGAATTTGGCTGAATGGTTCTAGGATAGTGTGGAGCATAGGTTCACGAGTGCATAAAAGGTTCACTTCACCCTCGACAGTGATCAAGGTATGTTACGCTGGTGACTTTTTGTGTTTGTTTTTTTTGTTTTTGTTTTTGCACATTCCTTTTGTTGTCATGGCTATCCATCCTCAACGGGAAAATTGAGGTGGCTAATTAAGTGCACGGACTACCAAACACAAACCATACTCCATATGTCCCAAACTACTGTTCTACATTATATATACTTTCATTGATCATAAAATAAAATAGTCAAGTCACCACTTGTTTTGATGAGTCCTTTTTGTAGTTTTAAAAATATAAATGTCATTTTTATTATTCTACACCAAATTTCAAATAAGTTGAATTGAAAACAACTTTATCCAAACATTGTAAACCATAAGCGGAATATTAATTGGAGGAACTTGTTTAAGTGTCTGCATAGGTCGATATCATTTCTTATAAAATAGGTCACAAAAGTGGGTTCATCTTACAGATTGATTGCTGTTCTGTTAATAGTGACAATATTGTCTTGTACCAAGCTGTGCTTAAACATTTCATTTGTCCTCAATGATGTCAAAATTAACTAATTGATTATTTCTGTAAAGTTTCTTTGATATTTTTATAAGTTAGAGTTTGCTGACACAATTTTCTGCAATATCATAGGCATGCTTTTGTCGGATGGGTTATACTTCTGAAGTTGTTCTTTGTGTTCTTCAATTGGATAGTTTATCAATTTATAGTGTCTCAGGTATTGTTCATTGTTTTATCATATTATTGATCTTTATCAGATTCACCTATACTCATTTTTGGTCGTGAATAACCTATCTTCACTATCAAAACTTGGAGTGCCAATATCATTTCCCACACACTAGCAATCACAATGCCTCTGTAACTTAGATTATTTTAGCGTTTTTCTTTCAACCATTATTATTGACTGTCATCATGGACAAAGAACTATGGGTGTTCACATTTTAATGATCAGCGTATATATTTTTTCCAATCACACTTTAAAATATTTTTGGTTTTTTCTGCGCTAACCACCTAAATTCATTTTATATTTGCATTATTGATGATGTAGTTTTTTAATTTTTCTTATCTTCTATCAGGAGAAGTCATCTCTATTCCTCTTCCTCGCAGCACTTCATCAATATGGCCTCTTCCTTATGGTTTGCTTCTCGAACAAGCAGGAGAAGGGGATTCATTCAAGAATATATTACGTTCTTCTTTGAGCCCATATTTAGGCCCCCGTGATATAGTTCGTCCTAAAAAGGATGTAAGCCCCACACACAATAGTAATAGAATTCGTGGAAATGATTTTATCATAAAGGGAGATGAGGTTTCAATGTCCTCACATATGATATTGAAGGATGCACTGGAAGAACCTCAGGTATGTATGATTGTAGCATTTGATCTTGATGCTTGACACCCTTAGTAGACCTAACTAGCTAACTAACTATACACACACACATTTTATTCATGGGAAGTATCTATCTTATTTTAGAGTTGTCAAGGTTATGACTCTCTGTGTGTGTGTATGTAGAATTTGTGAAGTACTACGTATTTTGTTTGTGTTAATGTGTTATGCCTTGTATGGCTTATTGCAGTCAACTTATGTTGAGCAAAGAGGGAAACTAGACATAATGAAAGAATTTGAAGAAAAAACTATTTGGACAGGAGATTGTGTTCCCGTGACAGCATCATATAACAGAGGTTTTCCAAGGCTTTGCAGCTAGAGATATTGCTTTTCCCTTTTTTTCTTTTTCATTTTGGACATCCAAAGCAGAAAGTGACTCATTTCACTTCTTCTGGGTTCATCTGCAGCAAAGATGCAACATTCTTTGTGGGCTGTGGAAATTATTAACTCAAACATGGAAGTATCAAATGCTAAGCGCTCTAATGGCCCTTCTGCAGTGATTTCGAAACAATTTTCCTTCAGGAAAATATGGCAAGGAAAGGTCTCACAGACAGCTGCTAGTAAGGTGCTGATATTGATCTAACATTGGCAACAGCTTAATGTCCATATTGGGTGTGTTTTGTAGTATATTATTGATTTTAGTTTGGTTTTAATTTTAAATAAACTTCTCAAAGTAGTCTTGTCTCAAGTCTGTGTATAGGGTTTTGAATTGATCTGAATACACAGATTAACCTTTTTTTTAAATGCAACTTCTCAAAGAAGTCATGACTCAAGTCTATGTAGTAGGGTTTTGAAATGATTTGAATACACAGATTTCCTTTCTGTTGAGTAGAAACATACTGTTCCTGTAATTATGCATCCTGTTATTGGAACTTATTTGATGAAACTAGATGAATAACTACTGTGAAATGGGTTCACATTTTAATGGCATTTTGTGATATGAAAGTTGTGCTTTCATTAATAATAAATTAGTAAACTACCATCATTTGGAGAAAATTCTGTTGCATTGGCTTGCTCTTTGCGCATCATAAATTCTTCTACCAATTGTCTAAGTCTTTAATCTTTCATTTCTGTTCATGGAATTGGTTTCAACAGGTATTTGTTGCAAGTGATGATGACACATCACACAGTATTTGCTTTCTTCTCAGAGATAAAAAAGAGTTGCTGTCTGTTTGGCTCCAAACGGAAGACATAAACAATGAAATAGTCTATGATATTAAACCAGAACTGAGCTGGAGCATACCAGCAGTGGATGCAGTACCAGTTTCTGTTACTCGCCCATGGTAGATCTATCACCTATTTTTCTGTATATTGTTTTTTCTGTAACATTATTCATATATCATTTGTCGGACCATGCAATAATCCATTAAATGCTCAGTGTGAATGTGGGAGTGCTTCCATATGCGGATATTGTTACTCTGACACCAGAAAATATTCTTCTTCTCTATGTAAGTTGATTAATCCTGCTCACTGAATTTATTTTTGTCCTTTTTAAATAGTTCCAATTCGTAATATGTATGCTACAAAGTTTTCACTATTCACTGCCTTTGTTTTGGATTTTGACCAAATATACTATAATATTGCATCTCAGTTTCCCCACCCCACATGTTCAGTTTCTTATCCAGCTCCTTTCAAATTAGTTATGTCTTTTTCCTGTTATTGTTGTTACATGCAAAGTATGTTCTATTAAACTTAGTGCTTCCTATTTCAGTCTGGGAAGCAATGTCTTTGTAAGTATGTGTTACCGCCTTCTTGGGGTAAATATCACTTGCCAGGCAATAATCACATGGGGAAAAAATCTGTTACCCATGATTTGGAAGTTGTTGGAATAGCTGATGCTGTTGAGGAGCGTATAAATCTTATTATGAATAATGGACAGGTATTGAGTAGTGTTTACTTATGCTCGAGTAATGCATTTTTACAAGATGAAGTATCTTGAAAATCATTCTCAAGTATTGTGAAATTACAGTGTTCTTTTCATAATTAAATATTAAATGGACTTTCTGTTAAGTACGGAGTATATCTCATTTCATCCCAAGTAGTTTTGGTTCCTTCCTTTTTAATAGTCCTGCGTTAGTAAAACTTAAGTTAAATACTTAAATGAGGAAGCAACTAGTTGGCAAATGAAAGATCCCCAAACAATTAATTAAGTGTGAATGGAACAGGAAGATAAATGAATCGAACAATTAATTTCCAAATTCCAATCAAACAGATGGCACTTCAATGTATGCATCAGAATATAGAGTACTAATGAAGTCATAAATAATACACGACACATTAAGTTGAACGGGTTTTGACTTATATTGCAGTTCCTAAGATAATATGAAAAAAACAGAGAGCTTGCAGTTTCAAAAGAGTTTTAGCATGCCAGAGGAAGGATTGTTTTGGGGTGGGGTAGGGGGTGTACCTTCCAGTTGTTATCAATGCGAATGCTTTAGTGTATCTATGTAAATTACATCTAAGGGATTCCTTTACGAATTGTTTTATGGATGATGGTTCATATAATGCTATAAGTCCACATAACTGTTTTATTTCAACTTAATGCTATGAAGTATGAAGCTTACCTTTTCATTTCTTTTCTCGCTTTGTGTTTGATCGATGTGTTTTCTTCTTACCCCAGATTTACAGTTGCGCACTACGACGCTGTGTGTTTAATTGATGTGTTTTCTTCTTACTCTAGATCTACAGATGTGCACTACGACGTTTCCCTTCATCATCCTTAGCTAATGATTGCATCACAGCAATGGCAGAAGGGCTACAACCTAGCATCTACCAACAGTTTCTTATTCTTTTATGGAAGAATGAAAATCCAGCTTATCTAAGTAGGAATGATGTCACTGCTGATTCAGAGTGGGAAACATTCTGTAATGTATTACTGCAAATGTGCAGGTGTTCTACTCATTCTTCCAAAAGGACTTCAGATTTAACCTTATATTCATCATGGGAGTTTCTCATTCAAAGTAAATATCACAAAAAATACTGTCAGAATAATCTAATAGCCGGAATTCCTCAGCTGGAATCTTCCAATCAGAGGGGATTTGATGCATCTGGATTATCTGGAGACAGTACACAGAAATCTAGCAACACAGTTTATAACGAGATACTGACTGAGTCTCTGGATTCACTTCATGCAGTATATGAGACTTTGAAACTAAACAATCTCCGCAAACGGTATATTTATCTTATAAAATTATATTTTTTTAATAGAAAATGTTTTTTTCCCTTTCCGCGGGCAGTTTTTCCTTTATTCCTCAACATTTTCATTGCTCTAGCTAGAACATAGAAGCAAGTTAAATTTAAATTTCTATACTCAGTTTCTTGTTCACTCGAATAATTTTTGGAAAAGAGTCATAAAGTACACCAGAAGATTTTCCTTAGTACATTTGATAAGAGTGAATCTTCATGGAGTCTCTGTTCCAGCATTACCATCGTTAAGATTCAGCATCTGTGTTATCTTATTCAACAACATATTGGAGGGTTATGAATTTATGATGACTTTGGATCATTGCATATTTGAAGGCCATCTGTTGCAGTATATAATTCTTTGAGTACCTCAACTTGTTGTTTCTTATATTTAGTTTTACGTCCCTATTTTAATTGTTACCTGTCAATATGTTTTTTATATAGGGATTTGGATCTGCTGGTAGCCCTATTATGTGATGTGGCTGTGTCCTTAGATGCATATTGCTACTTGGATCATTATATACGCGATTTTCCAAGACTATCGAAAGGGTTTAAGATGCCATGCGAGACATTTTCCCGGAAAATGCCTCCCAATTTGTTCAGGTGGCTTGAAACATGTTTACAATTTGGATGTAGTTCTGCTAGTATATGTGACATTCCACCATTGGTTTTTAAAGAAGGCAGGTCTGTTGTAAACTGGGCACGAAAAGTTGTATCATTCTATAGTCTTTTATGTGGCGCAAATCTATTGGGTAAGAGGCTATCTTCTGGTGTTTTCTGCAATATCGCGTATGGATTATCTCACTCTAGAGAGGAAGCAACTGTCCTGGCAATGGTTGGAGAAAGATTTGGTTTGCAACAGCTAGACTTACTGCCGGCTGGCGTGTCTCTTCCTTTACGACATGTAAGTTTTCAATTGAAAGAAATTATATGGATTCTAATTATGATAAGAGAGTTCTCAGCTTGTATTTTATAGCATGGTTCCAAATCAAGGTAAACAGAAGATTTGTAAACCAAGATGATGTTTGCTGTTTTCCTCTTATTCTCTAATACAATTAGCAAATATGGAGTAATCATTTGATTGATACTGCAACCATACTTGGTTTATCATTGTATTGAATTGTTAACATTCTTACATTTTTCTATTGTTAAATAAATAGCCATAACTTCATTGTTTAGGCATTGGATAAGTGTCGCGAATGTCCTCCAGTGAATTGGCCCCCTGCTGCTTATGTGCTTATTGGCAGGGAGGACTTGGCTTTGCCAAAGTTAAAATATCCAAGCAAATCCGGGGAACTTGAGGATGATGTAAATGCAAATTTGATTTCTACATGTACTCCTTACATGCTGCACTTACACCCTGTGATGATTACCTCCGTATCAGACTCAATAGACTCAGAGAGGAGCAAGCTAGAAGATGCAGATTCTCTTGAGGGATATATAAATGATGGTATGGACCATCTTTTCAACTCTAGCACCTTATTGCGGTATGGTCGTGATCTGCGACTGAATGAGGTCAGTAAGTCAATGTAAAGTAGATCTGATGAACTCAATGGATTTGTCACATGGTCCCGGTCCTTATCAAAGTTCCTTAGTGAAAGATGTAAACAATTAATGGGAACACCTATGTTGTGAGAAATAATATGGATGAATTATTACCTATATCAATTCTTCTCTTTTCTCTTTTCTCTTCTTTTTTCTTGAGTATGCTTTGATAAAAAATGTGCTGATCGTTTTTAAAATTGTGACTTTCTTTTTCTTCCTTACAGGTTAGACGATTGCTATGTTCTGCTAGACCAGTAGCTGTTCAAACACCAGTTAACCCAACTGCATCTGATCAAGACCTTCAACAGGTAGCTTAGCATTGGATTCATTTCCCAAATTCCATAGTTTGTAAGGAGGCAAGGCGCCAATGTACCTTCATATCGCCTAGGCGATGATATATATATATATATATATACATATACATATTATATATATATATATACACATATTATATATATATATATATATATAGGGATTGACTCCAGTCAGATGACATCTTTCGGTCAGATGACACTTTCGGTCAGATGACATGCTTGAGAATGAGCACCACCTTGCTTGAGAATGAGCACCACCTTATTTCAAAATGAACACTACATTGAGCAGACTGTGAATGAGTACTAGGTTGTTTCAGAATGAGTACTACGTTTATAAAGAACAAATGTGTGAAAGTCAACCCTACGATGTCTTAGAATGAACACTACGTGGATTCAAAATGAACCCTATGTTGTCGTCTCGCTGGCTATGAATGAACACTACATTGTAATGAACAGTTGTGTGAGAATGAATCCTACGTTGTTTAAGAATGAGCACTACATTGATCTAGAATGAGCATTCGTTGTCATCTGACCGAAAGTGTCATCTGACCGAAACATGTCATCTGACTGGAGTCAATCCCATATATATATATATATATATATATATATATATATATATATATATATATATATATCTTATACATTTTAGGGAAACTTATCGAGACAGAGAAAACCGAGAGAGAGAAGATAAGTTAAAGTCTGTTAGGCTACACTGAAAGAAAATGGGCTGCACTGAAAAATGGGTTTTTTCAAAATTTTAAAGGGGCCCAAGGCGAGGTAAGGCGAGTTAAGGCAAGGAAAGGCGATGCCTAGGCGAGCGCCTGATTGCCTTATGGTTTTTTAGGCGAGGCAAGCAGACAATGCATCCCAGTGACAGTGCCTTATCGCCTAGGCGACGCCTTACAAACTATGCCAAATACACACTCACACGTGATCTATTATTGCTTCCTCGTATTAGCCGCTTTGGTGCTTCAAGTTAAAGATGGCCTGCTGCCTATATACTCCTTAGAACACCAACATATCATTTTGTATATATATCTACATGTTTTGTAGATCTAGTAACAATTTGAGTGTTTTTTTTTCCGGCAAATTAAGCCAAGTTTTTTCCAATAGGATGCTAGTTGATAGAATTTAGGATTGGGTATGGGCAACTGGATTAGGCAATAAGACACTTGAGTTGAACCACATTAAAAGATTGAATCCAATCGATTAGTTAGTTCAACTCTAGAGCTTATATACCGATTATTTTACTCTTGTATTTCTGATGTGGGATGTACTCTAACACTCCCCCTCAAGTGGACAACTGGCCATTTTGAATCTAACTGGTTGACCACTTGCAAATGAACTCCCATTCCCTTGACTTTTTTTATGAGCGCCAACACCTAAAGGACCACGAGCCGCTGGGTATGGACTTCCAGACGAGCAATCGTGTTAAACAGGCCACAGGCCGCTGGGTACAACCTCCATACGGACAACTGGGCTAAAGACTAACGGGCCGCTAGGAATGAACGTCTAGACGGACACCTTGACAAACGAGGTGGGCTAAAACTGGCTCTGATACCATGATAGAATTTAGGATTGGGTATGGGCAACTGGATTGAGCAATAAGACACTTGGGTTGAACCACATTAAAAGATTGAATCCAATCGATTAGTTAGTTCAACTCTAGAGCTTATATACCGATTATTTTACTCTTGGATTTCCGATGTGGGATGTACTCTAACACTAGTAAAACAAGTCTCCGAGCTATCCAATTGCATTGCTTTTTGTGTTCATGTTTAGTAATGTTGATTTTCTTTTCAATGTTTGAAATATGACCACGATTTGCTAAAGTAATGTTCGCAAGGAATTATGTTTTCTGCTTCTGGTGCTGCATATTTAGTGTTTCCAAAAACTCGATCACCTTTTCATTCAATTGTATAAGAGTTCTCAACGAACCATGTTTCCTGCTTTTAGTTTTTTGGTATTTAGTGTTACCTGAAAGAAACTCAATGAGCTTTTTATTTGTTTGTCTCTATACCAATGTTAGTGAATGTTGTTTGCTGCTAACTTTAGTTTCTCTGTAGGCTCAGCTATGGCAACTAGCACAGAGGACAACAGCCCTTCCATTTGGTCGTGGCGCTTTTACACTTTCTACTACTTGCACACTTTTGACGGAGGTATACCTTTAGTCCATTTGAATGAATCAGTGAGAGATAAGTCAGAGACTAGTCAGATTTCTGAAGGTTTTTATACTTGTCATTTTCTTCCTTATTGGTGTTACATTTTGTAGTTTAAACATTTGTAGGCACTTGGTGTACCAAAGCTTGTATTAGCTGGTCGGCTGCCGGCTCAACAAAATGCAATGGTATGGAATTAATTTCTTTGGAGATGACACTTTCTACCTCCCCTCCAAGTCGGCCTTTTCATTAATGTTTTTTTTGCTGACTGGATGCATTATTTAATTTTCACCGTGTTCCTCTTTTCGTTTGCTATGCTGTACTATGTCACCCGCTCATGTGTTCAATTCAATGTTCGAGTTTTGACTACCACTAAATCATCTAAATGACTGTTCCCTCTTTTCAATCTTATTCTGTTATTGATAGGTTAATCTAGATCCAAATGTTCGAAATGTACAAGAACTTCAGCCCTGGCCAGAGTTTCATAATGCGGTTGCTGCTGGGTTAAGACTTGCTCCAATTCAGGTTTGGATTTGGCTCATTGTGTGCTTATTTCTTTGTTGAAATCATGGTGTGGCGACAATACGAGGTAATGAAAACACATTATAAGTGTGTTTGTTACAATGTGGTGTTCAGCCTTGTTCATGACCTGCTCTCCCAAATGTACTGATGTAGTTTGCTGTCAGAAAAGTTTACTGCCTTTCCGCCCTGTACGGACAAAATTTATGGTCTGATTTCTTGTGTACTATGTATTTTGAGAATATTTTAATTGAATGATCTGAAAAAACTAAATAAGTATTGCCTTAGCTGGATCTAAAACCTGTTTCGCCATAGTGCTCTGAAACATCTCAAGTGCACTAAAGACCTCTTGCTCAACTTGTTACTAAACATTTCCAAATCCCGTTTGTTCCAAAAACTGTTTACTGAAGTTGCCTAAACTATGCTAGTATATATGTTTCCATTACCGAACACATGTTATATCATTGCTACACCCTGTTTTCAATGTAACAAGTTTGATTCATTTGATTCTGATTTTCATAGTTTTCAAGTTAAGCATGTACAATAATTTTTGCCTATCAAGATATTATAGAGTATTTGGGTTTGAAATTAACGAATGTTTTTTAATACTTGACCTGGTAACGACACCAGTTCAAGGTCAATAATTAAATCATGGTTCATGGTTGTCAAACAAGTGAGATCTAATAGGATAATAATACTAATGACGATGATGATGATGATGACCATAGTTGTCACGGTGTTGCATAGGCATCAACTTGGCATCCAAACGCTGAGCTCCAAATAGTCGGCTGATTTTTCCTAACCTTGAAAGGCGTCACCTTTGGGACGACTAGGCGCTTGCCAAGGATGGCACGTTTTTTGGAAGGTCGGTTTGTTTACTCTGTATTTTAGATAGTGAGTCGTGACCCAAAGCTGTAACTACGAAACCGTATGTAGTCAGGACCCAGACTCTTTGACTTTGACTCTAGAGTCTAGACATTCTCTTGCCGTCGTGAGACATGCCAGAAGCTGACCTCTCTGACTCTATTGCCTTCGATTCACGCACAGTAAGCAATGAGCTGCTTCAAAATTAATTTTGTACTAGTTTGTATTTGTCTTCTTTTTTTCTTACTCCCTCGCTTACTATTTGTCCATTTCTTTTTTAAATTCACTAATGATAGCCTACTAATGATTTTCTTTTAGATTTTTGTCTGTTTTCAAACTCAATGAAAATATCCTCATTAATGATTATTGTTTAGTTTTTTTATTTATGTGCAGTAATGATTATTCTTTATATTTTTATTTTAAGCTCTTAAGGTTAACTTTACTGGGTTGGAAATTTAAATTTTTTGAACTGCTATATACAATGTGATATATGGGGGGCGTTCCCATGACATTAACCCCCATGTCATCCTATTATATGGAACACGTTTTGGGTCCCTAAAGTGTTCCATTTGAAAAATTGATGATTCCTACCCCCTAGTAACCCCCCACCATAGCCCAATGCGAGCCCACGCCCACTCCCGTCAATTGCACCCTACAAGATTTAGTTGACTTTGGAGTCAAATTTTGACTCCAAAGTCAACTAAATCTTGTGGAGTGCAGTTGATGGGTGTGGGGGAGTGGGTTGGGGTCGGGGGCCAAGGTGGGAGGGTTTATCAGGGTAAGAACCATCAATGTTTCCAACCGGGCACCCCAGGTCATTCCATGACATTGATTCCCAATGTCCTGGGAACCATGGTGTGGTATATTTATATTTATTTAAGTGCTACTAATATACATTAAATTTCATTTATTATGTCGCCTAGGTGGTTGCCTAGTCGCATGGGTGTCCTGGTGGTACACTTGCGCCGTGCCCCGCCATGGCGCTCTGATAACCATGAAGATGATGATGATACTAATAGTAATCATAATAGTAGTAGTAGTAATAGTAATAATAATAATAATAATAATAATAATAATAATAATAATAATAATAATATGATGATGATAATAATAATATGATAATAATAATGCTTTCCATCATCGCTGGTGCAGCCAAAGGTTCAGTTCATAAAAGTAACTAAAAATTGAAATAATATCTAAAACCTTGTGTGCAAGAGTTATTTTGGTTTAGTCACTTGATCTGGATTTGCTCTCATTTCGTAACTTTATTTAAGATAGTTTAGTTATAATTCTGTGTCCCTTGTGCTTTATTGTGTTGAAACTTTGCTTTCCTTGTTTTATGTATTTATTGTGAGCTTTTATGTGTAGCTTGAGCTAGGGGTCTCATGGAAACAGCCTCCCTACTTTTGGGTAGGGGTAAGGTCTGCGTATACACACCCTCCTTAGACCCTACTCTCGCGGGATCCACTGGGTTGTTGTCAATTGATCTTGATTTGGCTGAATCTACAATTTCTTCTGTTTTTAAATAGAATTAAAAAAAATGGTTCAATCTGGCTATTGCATATTGGGTTTCACAGGTTTTAGACTGGTTCATTGCTGCTTTTCGGCGGTTCTAAAATGCACAGTTTCTTTAGGTTACTCAGGATTGTGTTTCCTGTTCAACCAGTCAGTCTGGACCAGTTTTAATTGAGTGTTAACTAACGTACTTGATGATATAATTTCCTGCCACCAACCCCAACTGGTTTGGGTCAAGGTACTGGTGGTGATGAAAATTTAAGTATTGCTATGTTTTGTTGTGACACTCTTTTCAGCATTTTTTATTTTTGACATCTTGTGTTTACTTGTGCAGGGTCAATTGCCAAGACCTTGGATAATGTATAACAAACCTAAAGAGCCGAGTGTTAATCATGCTGGACTACTATTTGCTCTGGGGTTACATGGGCATCTCTGTGTTTTAAGTATATCTGACATATACCAATACTATGCAGAGGTCATAAATATTGCACACATAATTTTTTTTCTAATTGTTTTTAATTTACCTTAGCTTCATTTTGGTGGATCAAATTCTGTATGCCATTATTTGGAGCTATGTAGCACTTTTACAGCTAATCATAAATAGATAGGTGTAACTGGTATCTTTGTGAATATATTATTTTGAGACCAAGGACCTGGTACATAGTAATATTACAAAGCTATTTATGAAAACAGAAGAGACCGGATTATATTCTCATGCAAAATGGATAAAAACAACATTCTGTGAATCATCTTTATCTATAAGGCTAAAATATTTCAAAAAGTTATTTTTCTTCAAACTTTTTGGCATGTATTATTTTTTTTTAATGCAAATCCATTTTTTCTGCATGATTCTGTGGCGTTGAACCAATTTTCCATGAACACGCACCACCGCCTCATATTTTTTTCTCATATATTTGTTACATTTAAAAAATTATTTTGAAAGGGAAGTATACATGTCATTCATCGTTAGGAAATAACGAAGAATATGTGTGAATGCATGATCATATTGTTCTTAACTATAGTCCACTTATTCAGGTGCATGATATAACATCTTTAGGATTAATGATTGGACTAGCAGCATCGTACAGGGGATCAATGCACCCGGAAATTTCCAAGGTGAAATATTTTTATCCATTTTCATTTTCAGTCCACTAACTCTCACAACCACTACATCTTTTAAAAGAAATAGGGGTTGACGAGTATCTACCGAAAGAGGCACTGCTTTGTGAACTAAATCACTGCGTGAAGCGTTGTTAAGTTTTGTAATGCGTTTTTAAAAGACTATTGGATCATGTTCGAGAGTGGATATAAACAGAACAATGGTTTGTTTTACTCTTTGGGAAGATGTAAGGTTTGCGTACATCTTACCCTCTAGACCTTTTTACCAAGCGTGATATACTAGGTGTATATTGTGTTGGTTTGGTATCATCATTTCAATCTTAGGAATAAAAGAACTAAAACAACCTTTTTCATTGTAATTCTGATCTCCGCGAAAACTAAATCTTAATTAATTGGTTTAGGCAATAATTAAAGAGTTGTGATGCATTAAAAGCGGCTGTTGTGCTCTTTAGGATTTGAACCTTGTCATTCTGTTATCCTCTTTTGTGTTTTGGTGGTCTCTTATCTATTTAGTAAAATATATTGCGATGCGATAATCACTTATAGACTCATGAGAGTAATTACAAATATTATCTATTGCTTTGCAGTCACTTTATGTACACATACCGGCACACCATCCAACTTCATATCCTGAATTTGAACTGACAACACTTCTCCAGGTAAATATGCTCATATTTATTATCACTCAGGTCATTTTTTATCTTTCCTTCTGAAACTCCAAAAAAAATTGCTCTTCAAGCTATTGATTTTTGCTCTTTTACTAGTCAGGTGTAGGAGCCATGTTCTGTAGTGCCTATTGCCTATAGTGGGAACACAATATTCTGCCTTTATCCCCATGTTAGCCTTGGAGTTAGATTCATTACCTTTGATTCCTTGGTTTAAATACACACATCAGATTGATGATGATGAAGATGCTAAAATCATTACGTAATGGTAGTAGTAGTACTAATGATGGGGGGGGGGGTGCTTACTTCACACATAATAACACATTCAAACTTCAAAGATAATTACATAAGGATTCTATGAAACAAGGTGTTGATAGAAAATTGAGGGACATGGGTTTCAGACATTGAACAACAATTACAGACACGAGGGTCTCCAAAGTGTTAATATACATTGCAAAATGAAAACTTACTGCCTGGGAGCACTAAATGCACAGTACTCTGACCACCGAGTGTTAACCATGTGTGTAGCTTGTATGCCACTCAAACAACAACAACAACCCAGTTAAATCCCACTAGAGTAGGGTCTGGGGAGGGTGTGTGTACGCAGACCTTGCCCCTACTTGAAAGTAGAGAGGCTGTTTCCAAAGAGACCCTCAGCTCAACGTCGAAAGTTGCATTGCTTGACTAACTGATACTTCATTAATTAAAGAAGCGCAGATAGTTTAGAGATCCATTTTGATTTATTCCATCACACCCCAAATCCAAAAAATGGTGAAATTTTGGCTCCATCGGAGATGATGGAAGTGTATGCCACTCAAACAATTTACTCTATTTTCAACATAGTCCCACAAGTAATACATGACACACATACAATGCTCAGAGCACTACCGGAGGAAGTTACTTCTAAAGAGGAAAATGATAATCATTGAGTTGGAGGTTACTACACTACTACCCATCCCCAATTCATGGTGGGTTAAGTTTTTTGAAGGCCCCCCACCCCCAGAGAAAAAAAACAGGTTTACCATGTAAGGCTGTACGCATATGTTTGATTTTATTATTTATTTAATTTTATTTGTATATAGTATATTACTCCGTAGTCCGTACTACATGTTTAAGAGTAACCTCAAAGCCTCATTTCGTTGCTTCATGCTAGGAATCTCTGAGTTCTATCGTGTAGTGATAATTTTTTGTTTATGATCTCCTTTTTGAGAATCTCTTTTACCCCCTCCGTCCCACTATGTTTGAGATTAGGGAAATTGACACTAATTTAGGAAAGAGTGGAATTGTGTGGCTAATATTGAATATGTAAAAAATGGACAAACTATGAATAATTTTTTAATGACACAAATATGACAAATATTGAGTGAGACGAGCATTTCGAGACTAGCCAAGATGGTAAGACGAGAGTGGGATGAAGCCAGTATTTAATACTCAGGTTGGATTGTTGGAGATCCATGAAAGTAAAGAGGTGAATCCTTTTGAAATGTGAACATATATGTTGTTAGTTAGGTGGTAGACATACATATGCCGGGTCATTTTACACCCACTCCAACCTACTAGCATTGATCACCATACACGTGCACACACATACATATAGCCTTCATAGAAGCAGATTAAATTCATGTGAATACTTTTCCAATGCACCAAAAAAATTCCGGCAAGTACACTCGGTGTTAGATACACCATCCTTTGAACATCAAAATGCCACCAAATTGAATGGTTAATTTTGCAATTTTTTATACCGAGTTCAGGCGACAATAAAAATAGGATCGAATCCTCTGGAATTTCTCCAATGGCCAGAAATTTTGCATTCCCAAAGATTCATCATTATAGGGTATTTGTGACAGTTCTGAAGATCATCTAATTTTTTCCCAATATTTATAAGTTGCTTCATCACTTTTAATGGATTGGCATTGCAGTGATTGGACTAACTGTATGCCTAATTGTTTTTTGTGTGAAAAATTTACTTAAAAGTGTTGTATTATATGTTTGGCAGTGTGCAGCACTTATGTGTCTTGGGCTGCTATATGAGGGATCAGCTCATCCTCAAACAATGCATATTCTTCTGGTACATTTCTCCTTATGTGAACTTCACTGAAGGGTCAATTGCCTAAAACCTGTTCTCGATTAATCATTTTCCCTCCAAAAATAGGTTTTTTTTAAAAATGTGATGTGTGTTTTTTAGGGGTCATAAAGTAGTGTGTACAGAAAATAGCCACTTACTCCTTAAGTATAAGGCACCTGCTCTCACTCTAGACCACTGAATTTACTTAAATCTAATGTTGTAGATGAGTTGGTTAATCAAGGCAATATACTAAACCTAAATCCAGTGTTTGATATATATATATATATATATATATATACACACACACATACATACATACATACATACATATATATATATATATATATATACATATATATATATATATATATATATATATATATATATGTTTCTTTCTTCAATAGGAAAATTAGAAGCCTGGAGTATTTTGGGATGAACAAAAAAGGAAAGTGTAAATTTTGGGACGGAGAATCAAAACAAATAATTTTACCTCTGTCAAGAACCGATTCAACCCAAAACCTCAAGCTTGTGGTTGTGGCCTAGGAAAAATTATTTTTATCCTAACATGCCCCCTCACGTGCAGGCGCAATCTTTTTCAAGCCTTGCACGTAAAAATTTACATTTTTGTAAACTGGGTGGCGCTGAGTTTTGAACCCATGACCTCTTAGTCAACAAGGCTCTGATACCATGTCAAGGAATCGATTCAACCAAAAAGCTCAAGCTTGTGGTTGTGGCCCAGGAAAGGTTATTTATATCCTAACAACCTCCACTTTTGAGTGCAGGGTGAAATAGGTCGTAGAAGTGGAGGGGACAATGTACTTGAGAGAGAGGGTTATGCACTTTCTGCCGGGCTTTCACTAGGTCTTGTTGCATTAGGTATGATTGCCAATTTCTCATTTTAATAATCTCTTCTCAACATGTGTTTGACCATTCTTTTGTCTGGAGGTCGTGGAGAAGATGCTATAGGATTTGAAGACGCATTAGTAGATCGCTTGTTTCAATATATTGGAGGAAGCAACCATCGAAATGTATTCAATGCCACACCTCAAGTTGATGAAACACCTCAAGTTGATGAAATGATATTATAGTTCTCCTACTCCTCACTGACAAAAAATCTCTAACCTTTGGATTATATTTCTCTCCTAACAGGATCAGTACTCATTCACACCACCCATTAATGAGCACAACCATAGTGCAGGACAGGTTATTGTCTAGTCTAAATTTACTTGATGCCGTGTACCCCGTCTTATTTTTCTATTATGGATCTGAATTGGATTCTCATAAAGCCAGATCAATCTCTAGCCAACCAAAACTTTTCAATTTCCTATTCTGGATGTGCTATTGCTGTTTAGGTAATGGATGCCACATCGAACAATGTTGATGTTACTGCACCCGGAGCCATAGTTGCTCTTGCTCTAATCTACATGAAGGTCTACTATGTTATCTAATTGATAAATCCTCCTTTTGAGGCCTTGCTACTGGTTACTGCTGATAGTTATTTCATTTAAACTCTTTCAAATGCCCACTTTTGTCATACGCAGACTGAATCAGAAATGATATTCTCAAGGTTATATATACCACAGACGCGCTTTGAGCTACAATATGTGCGGCCAGATTTTATAATGCTGCGCATTATTGCTCGGAATTTGATAATGTGGAGCAGGTCAAATTGAAAAAAAGATGCCCATTCTCAAATAATTTTGAATGTTAATTCTTATGTTTTAACAACCCATTTTTCGTTGGCAGAGTTCAGCCATCTGAAGATTGGATATGGTCACAGATTCCACAAGTTATTCAACGTGGTATAGAATGTCTTGCAGTAAATTTAGACAACATTGACGAGGATGATGCGGAAGCATTTGTTAAAGCATATGTCAACATAGTCGTTGGAGCATGTATCTCTCTTGGTGAGTTGCTTTTTGGAAATTGGTATTGTTTGCTAGGCGTAAGATCTGCCTAGGGCATTTGAGAATGGTTTCAGGCTTTATGGAGTTTAGGTAACTGGGCAACTCATATGAATTTGGATTCCTGAACTTCACTACAGCTCCTTTTTTTGTGAATGCATCGCCGTGTCTTATGTTTAGGGTTCTCAATTTTAGTTTTGAATATTCTTACATCTTTGCCATAGACCATAGTTGATGTATGATATCTGCTGAGTTAATGGTTATAAACTTTGTACTTATATTGCTTATAAAGTAATGACTCTTAACGTATGATGCTACATGTTGGTGAATTTGTTTATTCCTTCAACACACTTTTGGTACCTTATTTGGACCTCAACATAAAATTTAATGCTCTTGCAGGTTTGAGATTTGCAGGAACAAGAGATGGTAATTCACAGGAGCTGCTTTACAAATATGCTGTATACTTCCTTAATGAGGTCCGTCCTTTCTATCGATGCATGGCATCTGTAATATGTACTTGAGCATCACTTAGGGTAATATGACGTAGATATTGTTTCTTCTCTATAATGTCTTAGTTTTTTAATTGAGGTGTTGGTTTGTAGCACGTTATTAATATACATCAGGTAAAGAGATGAGGTTCTCCTAGGTGCTAGCTGTTACCAAACTTTTTCCACTTTTGGCTGATACATGTGGTGCCATGTTTATGTTAATAAATGAATTATTCAAAAGGATTATCAGTTCTACTTTTTGTAGCTTTTCTTTAAAGTGCTACACAATTCACTTTTTATTTTACATATACAGATAAAGCCGGTTTCAATTACAAGTGCAAATACCTTCCCTAAAGGGCTATCTAAATACGTTGACCGCGGCACACTTGAAACATGCCTTCACCTCATTGTTCTTTCCCTATGTGTGGTATACAGAGAATAACTTATTTATATGCTATTTTTTTTAGTTGAATCATCTACTGAATACATTCTGAGTTATGAATTTGTGTTAACAGGTCATGGCTGGATCTGGGCACTTACAGACATTCAAACTGTTGAAATTTCTAAGATGTCGAAATATTTTTGACGGGAACTCAAGTTATGGTATTCATATGTGTGTAAGTACTCTCACCTTCTGTGTGTGTGTGTGTGTGTGCACACATCTGTGCGCCGTAGTGGTTACGACTAGATGAGGCCAGGCGCCAGAGTACCTTCTAGTCGCCTAGATGATTTGGCATTCGCCTAGGCGTCCATTACGCAAGTGCAATATATATATACATATATACATATATACATATATACGTATACATACATATATATATATATATATATATATATATAGTGTGTGTGTGTGTGCGCGCGCGCGCGTGTGTATCATAATAATCATTTAATAGAATAACAATTAGGTTCCGTTGTCACTCATTTTGAGTGAGTGTCAACGGATGACACTCGGTAACCCGGCCCGAACCCACCATGCAACCCCTTCAATTTCATCCTAACGTTTGTTGACTCCGGGGTCAAATTTGCTGACCGAACCGTAACCACTTCAATTTTATCCCCAAATTTTGTTGACTTACAACAACCCAGTTGGATCCCACATAAGTAGAGTTTAGAGAGAGTGTATATGCAGATCTTGCATCTTCTCAAAAGTAGCACCTCACTGACTGCCCCAAGTTTTGTTGAGTTAAGAGGTCAAATGTTTATACCAAAAAGTCAATAAAATTTTTGGGATGGAATTGAAGGGGCTGGAGGGGTGGGTTCGAGCCAGGGTGGTGGGTTTATCGGAGGAGGGGGTTTGAACCATCATTTTAATGAACGGAGCAATTTAAGTGCCCCAAAACCTTAGTGGCACCGTAGCGTTAACCGGAGCCGGTGTCAATGGAACCCCTCTGATATATGGGTTGGGGGTTAGGGGGGAACCATCGATTTTACAAGTCGAGCACTGTAGGTACCCCAAAACACCAGTGGTATTGTAGTGTAACCTGGGGCCGGTGTTAACACTGATATAATAAATCTCTCTCCGTCCGGGAAAGACGTTCCCAGTTTGACTTTTCTTCATTTTTAGTGAGCGTTGACTATGACATTAAAATGTCCAAAATGCCCTCATATCTTCCTTGGAGGGGGGTTTGCCGGGTGGGGGGGGTAGGAACAATAAATAAATTTTACGATTGGAAGACCGTAGGTACTCTAAATGGACGTGTTGTCATATTATGACAACACCCGTTGTTGTCAAAAGAAGGGGGGTGTAGTTATATATATATATATATATATGTATGTATGTATGTATGTATGTGTGTGTGTGTGTGTGTATATATATATATATATACACATACATACATACATACAACAACAACCCATTTAAATCCCACAGGAGTAGGGTCTGGGGAGGGTGTGTGTACGCAGACCTTACTCCTACTCGAAAGTAGAGAGGTTGTTTCCAAAGAGACCCCCGGCTCAACATCAAAAGTTGCATTGCTTGACTAACTACTACTTCATTAATTAAAGTAGCACAGTTTATATATATATATATGTGTGTGTGTGTGTGTGTGAAATAACTATTAGTGATTGTACTTTATACCTCTTCTCTTTTATAAAAAGAAGGCATTTCAATATATGTATGTATGTATTGGTTGTGGTGAGAATGAGATCTTAGGAAAGAAATGAGAATGAATGAGGTTGTTTAGAATATGAGATCCAAGGGACATAAAAATAAGAAAAAATCAGGAAAAATGTTGTGGCAAATTTGTAAACAAATCAAACTTTGTATAATGCACTAATTGTAAAATGCACCATGACAAACAAAAATACACCATTCTCATTTCTTTCACCCAGGTCTATTCACACAAACTGGCCCCTACACACATAGAAAACGAATAGTACACATGTTATTTTTAAAAAATAGAGTTCCTCATCGCCTCAGGTATTTTCAGGCGAGAGGGGACACTTAGGGGAGCGCCTCATTGCCTTAGGTGTTTTGAGGCGAGGTGTCCATCTCATAGGGCCTAAGCAACTTCTTAATAGCTATGGTGTGCACACATGTGTTTGTGCATGTGCATGCATACTTGTGCTGAAGACTGCTAGGAAACAAAAAGACTCTTACCAACATTTTTAATTAAGAGTGTTGAACTATATTTCTAGGCAGTGCTGCAGCAGGTATTCTCTCTCTCTCTCTCTCTCTCTCTCATATGGGCCATATTGATTTCATACATTTCAGGTGAGCTTGGCCATTGGATTTCTGTTTCTTGGAGGTGGCACACATACTTTCTCAACAAGCAAAATTTCTATTGCTGCTTTGCTGATAACTCTTTATCCACGATTACCAAATGGACCTAATGATAACCGATGCCACCTTCAGGTAACTGCAAAAGCTACATCCCTTGAAAAGTCAACAATCTATCTCAAGTGAATCGGTTATTGCACAAATAGTTTCACCAATGTCATATTCAATCACTTTATTTACTATTCTTGAGGCTAAATCTAAATATACAATGAACATGTGTGATTGTGATATAGTTGTGGAAGGCGTTTGCCTCATTCACCCTATGCCTCTGAGGTATCCCATTTCCCCAGCGAATGACTCACCTTCCTCCCATATTTTTTTTGGAAGTTCTTAATGCTAGCAACTTTGTTTAATGTTTCTTTGATCTTCTTCAAGAATATAGATCCATACTGCAAATTTTTTACTACCTGATTAATAGAATTTATTTATTATTGTTTGTTTTTTATCTTTTATTATTTTAATCATTTTTGTGTATAACATATTTTGCATCATTATTAAAATTAATTGAATTCAGTCAACCATTGTAATCTGCAATGGGACAATTGATTTGGGATGGAGGGAGTATATATATAACACTCACACCATGTTTGCTCTTTGACTGCCTGCTCTCCCCTCTCCCCTTAAAAAGATCCTCTTGCCCTCTCCCGCCTTTCAAAGCTATGGTATGTGAAGAGTGAAGAACATCCATTTATGCAAAGTTCTTTTGGCCACCCTCATTATTGATGCAGCTTTTGAGAAACAAAGACCCTTCATACTTGTATGTAGTTTTCAGTCCACATTTTTACTCCGTCCATCAGAGTGTTATCAAACTAATGCTCAAGAATCCAAGATACAACATCCTACCCCCCAAATGTTAATAAAAAATGGACTCGGTCACAGATGATACCTGTGGACTGTGGTGCTGAAATAAAATTCAAGGGTGTTCTCCTTTTTCTTTGAAGGAAATGCATTCTTCATTTTCATCCTATTATTATGTTATGCTGCATTTTTAGTGTAGCTGCAAACTAAGAACCTATCTGTTAAAAGTATAAATAGAATTAATATTCTGTTGCACCTAGAAGATGGTTCATGAGAGTCAATGGTGGTATAAAAATGTGTGGTTTCTTTTATTTGAATTCCCCTGTAAGTTATGTGGGAATTGGGCAGTGAAATGAGGAACATGAATAAAAATGCTATATCCCCACATATTTGATGCGTGAAGTTGATAAGTTTGCATGAACACCAAATAACCATTAAATAAGGTTAAAAGGGAAGGGTACTACAACAACAATTTAGTAAATATAAATATGTAATTTATTCTCATCTAATCCCAGTATTCATCAAACAAGGGAATTGTATTAATTCCATAAAATGAATATTTAACAGTCTCTTTCATTTCAATTGTATATTTATTCATCATGTTGGGTTTATAAGCTAAGTCTAGCATCATTGCAGGCATTCCGACATTTTTATGTTTTGGCGACAGAAGCTCGTTGTATTCAGACAGTTGATGTCGACACTGCATTGCCTGTCTATGTACCACTTGAAGTTACCATCCGGGAAACTAATTACTATGCAGAAACAAGTTTTTGTGAGATCTCCCCATGCATTCTTCCAGAGCGTGCCATTGTAAGTTCTAGGTGGTTGAGTTTGCTGTATTAACACACAATATTTCTCATTTCTGAAGTTTATTTCCCTTTTAGTTACTTTCTATTGAAATCGTGATATAAATGGCTCACATGGGCTAGTCCAATGCTAATGCAGTTGAAGGCTGTTCGTGT